AAACACACACAGCAGCCGAATAAAATACGAAAATCAGTCAAAAAACAAACCAACTGACATTACAAAAAAACTTTCCGCACGTGGAACACTCGCACTATACGACTGCTTTTTCCTGAATTGAAAAAAAAACGGAAAATTTGGTGGCGAGTTCAGCAACCACTCAAACCCCCCCCCCCCCCCCCCCCCGAGCATGGAGACTGGGAGGATAACGAAGTTATCTCTCAGAAACTGTGAGATGATGCCCTGCGTCTACAAAATTTTAATCATTTATTGCAGCCCCTTTTATTAACTAGGATGCCCTGAAGATTTGAATATAACTTCAAGCTGATAATTTGTTTCAGCGCAGTGTACTTGCGGGCGAGAAAAAGGTCATATCATTTCTAATTGATTTAGCTTGTAACTGCTATGAAAACTATCTCTAATTATAGTTTTCAAGTCCGATTTTAGTCATAGCTGCGTTGTCTGGTGATTCGATACCAAAATATGTGTTTATTATTTACTTTGTTTATTGTCGAAAGCTAAATATGGTACGTTCGGCTGATAAGCTAAAAAATTGAAAAACATTCGTTTAATTGAAAAACATTCACAAATTTAATTTTTTCGTTCTTATTTTACCCATTCAACTATCATCGGTTTTTCTTTGATGATGGCACATAACGCAGCAAGGTTGTCTTTGTGTTCATATTTTATTACTTGAGGAAAAACTCTCCCCAGAGTGGGAGCAGAAAATCATGGTTGAAAAATCAAAGCAGATTGAAAATTTTTATTTGAACTTATATATTGCATTTGAAATAGAAAGGGTGCTTTTATAATTTTTTTGCAAAAATATAAAATGATTTTTGGATTTGATGACTTTTAAAACCCGAATATCAACTGTACAAGGCAACCTTTTTGCTTATGAGCGTGGCAAGTCCCGATATTTTCACATGAAAACTTTTTAAAACTTTTTATTGTTTGTTAGTTTCTGAGAGAATGGTCGTCAAGCTGAAAACCTTGTGGAAATAGGAATCTCAGACCATTTATTGACGTTTCCCTTTTTTTATTGCTGGTTGAAAAAATCTGGGTAGCCTTATTTTCTAATAGAAACCTCATTCAACGTCAAACTTTTTTGAAGTAGGTACGGTGTTGCTGGAGTTTTGTGAACTTTTAGCCGCAATTGTTTCCAATTTAACAGGACTCCTGAACGATTTGTATCTTTTCGCAGTTGGAATCCCCTCTGAAAACATTTGGCAACCTGACGAAACTTACAAACAACTCTATAATGCTCGGGTCTTCAGAAGCTAACGGGGAAATCATAACAGGATTATTTGTTGCAAAGTGAACACAGAAAGTGGTGTTGGGAAAGGTACTTTGTTTAGAAGTGATATACAAACATTTGCATTGATTAACCCAAAAACACAATAGCCTAGACCACATTTTAGTATCAAATTTGGTTATCAAAACTCAAACAAAGATTTTACTCAACTTATTGTTTCTCAAAGCAAAGATATGGTTTAACTTAATGTTTCTTTCATTTTTAAAAATAGAAGTACATTTACAAAATGTGTTTTTTTTTTATACAAAAGATGTTTTATTCAAAAATCATTCTTTACAAAAAAAGTTTTGAAAACGGTGAATATTCCAACGTTGTTTTTATGTATTTTTATTCAAAATTGGCTTATAAATAACTACTTTCTCCGCTGACAGTTTCATGACAGTTTTTAAAAGATAAATGCTCGTAAGCAGTTTCATGTGAATTTATTTTTTGATTGATTGCTTGGGGAGTTTCTCGGAAAAAGTCAGTCACTCCCTTCTTATCCCATTTCCTGCTCCATCATTTCCTTTCTTATTTTGACTTTATAATCTTAACAAAAACGCACTTTAGAAGCTGTGTTGAATCAAACGTGGGCCTTATATATTCGTTTTTATTTCGGATATTAATTAAGGTAAAACTAAGAGCAATCAATCCTTTACATCAGGAAAAAATTGACATACACTATTTTTCCTAACACTCGGTGTGCGAGCATTGTAAAAGCAAATCGTCATTTCACAAAAAAAAACTCGAATAAATCGAGACGAGGGGAGGGGTAAAGCAGTTCACTCCTATAAGCTGATGTGCTCAATTTTTCTGGTAGTAAATAAACTTGAATTATTTCCTGTTTTGATGGAGTTTTTGATTGGAGACAAAATAATCGTTCATTTAATTAATTCCTATCTATCCTTTTTCTCCCTCTTAAGATTTTGAGTGGGTAAAAATTAACACGGGTCGGAGAAAAACTCAACTAATTAATACGCGCGATGGAGAAACTCGAAAATCAGTCTTTACTCAAAAAAGTCCCATAATTACCCAGAAGAGTCCATAGTACAATCAAAGCACTGATTGAAGATAAATTTGCTCCCAATATGTAGTAGTGAAACCGCCGTATCTACAAAGCACCATATCTTGAAGCCGAAATTACATCAGCATAACAGAATAACAGTTGCATAACAACAGTGACAATCTGTTGTTATGTTGCGTAACAATACCAATTTGCGGCTTGTTGGAATTTTAATCTTATTTTCGGTTTGTTGACCTTTCGGCTTGTTGGCCTATCACAGCCTCTGCATTGCGAATAATCAGGTTTTAATATTTGATCTGGTATTCAGTCCATTCTAAACTAAATCGCAAAAATCAGATTGGTCTGAAACTTCATATACAACTTTTTAGTTTATTTCAGTGACGTGGCGTAAGAGGGAAAAAGAGGCGAGGCGGACGCCCTCCCTTACTTCTAGTCTCTCTTTTAATTTACGGCATTCTCGAAAACTGCGTTCTTGGCATTTTTTCTTTAAAAAGTTTGTCAGGTGAGTTACAGTAGATCCATGACAATGTCAGTTAATTTTCTGACCAAAACGGCTCATTGAAAAATTAATTTCAAAAACTAAATAAATAAAAACCTTCAAAAGGAAAAAAAGGTCAAACTTGATTTTTGTTGTGAACAAATTTTCATATATATAATTGCAGAGAAAACAAAACAATTTCATAAAAACTGGCGCTGAGACAAAAGTAATCAAAAGCGGAATTCTAACAAAATTAATATACTATACTGAGTGATTTTTATTGAAAAAACATGTTTGATAATGTCGGTACCCGGTTTGGCCAAAAATGCTAATCATTCAACATTCATACATAGAAAAAACGCTCATCATACACTTTTCATGCAACTCCAGAGGTACAGACAATTACATGAACGGTCTATGATTAGTGATTTTCGTATATGAAAAATGTATGACTTGCATTTTTCCATAAACAAAAAAATTTATTATTTTTTTAAATTTATTTTCTTGAAGTATTTGGGTTGTGTTTGTAACCGAGCACAAGTGACAAAGATCTTGGCTCAGGGGCCAAGTATTTTCTCGGGGGGGGGATTTTCAAAAAGTTCAAAAATTTTTCTCTACCTTCTCACCTCAAAAGTAGTATATTTTGGCGCGCGCTCTCCCCCCAAAATTAGTCTATTTTGTTTGGCGCCAAAAGCGCCTATACAAAAATTTGAGAGTCAATCAGCCGAAAATGGATATCTCAAAATATCTTTTGGGTCAGTAGGTGGTCGAATCCCTGAGAGAAGGGGCGTCCGCACCAGCCACCCCACTAAATCCGCTGGTGCCTTGGCTTACTCATTACTAAGGTCATCAAAGGTCTGGCCGTCTTGCTTTTACAATGCATTGGAAACGACCTGAATTGTGTTAGAGTTTTCATACTCATATGATATGATGAAAGTATCAAACTTATAAATTTTGGCAAAACTTTTCAAAGATGATCACTTTTGAAATTTGAATTTTTAATTAATCAGGCATTGGTCAAGGCGTACATAAGCATGCCATGCAAAAGAAAAAGACATAATGAGCGTTTTTGAAAAATAATAATGAGAAATGGAAAAAATCTTCAACTTTTGTATATCCAGGACTACCTTATGCACACAAAAATTTGAATTTCGGATGGAAAGAAAAATTGTTTCCAAAATGTTTATTTGAGCACAAAATTCGCAATGCAGCTTTGAAAATTGAAACTGGCCGTTTTTGTTGTGGTCATCAGAAAATGCTTGTCGTACAATTTCCATATATAAAATTTGTAAGATAAGCGTTTTTTTTTTGACAAAAATATTTCGTTTTTGCTGATGACCGAAGTCTTGGAAAAATTAGATGACTCATTTTTAGCAAAAAGTGTAAATTTAGTACAATTAGTATTTTTCCATAGACTTAGTTAATGGAATTGTATGATTGGCAATTTTGGTCTGTGGAAATCAACTCGTATGTAGATTATATAAGTATTCTATAACTATTTTTGATTTAGTGATTTTTAGCTCGATGGGGTTCTTTTTTAAAAACATTTTATTTATTCACAAGATTTAAGGGATTTTCAATTAACTTAGTTGCAAATTCCGTTATTTTTAACAGATCTGGAACAATTCGGAATGTTTTTCCGGACATTTGACCGGGTTCAGGGTCACAAATTCTACCGGATCACAGAATTCATGAACTCGGGACATCGCTATTTGTTGCTCTAAAAACTTTCTTGATTGACAAATAAGTTTTGCTCAGAAGAATGAAAAAACTTTTATCGTTGGTTATGTTTCGTAGCATAGGTTAGAATTGCTCATAATGATAAATAATCAGATTATTAAAATTAAACATTCTAATAATGATAATAATTATAGTAATAGTAATAACCATGATGAAAATAGTCATAATAAGCATCATTATTGTAATCTTAATAACAATTCTTGTCAGGAACAAATTAATTTAAAGTTTTTAACAAAGTCACTCTTCAAAAAATTTTCAACTGTCTGGGAGATCACCATTAAGTTAACAGATCCATTTTCAGGTGTCTCTGAATCGCTCATAAATTTGAACGGCATTTGATTAACCAGTTTCGTGAATTTGGTAAAAAGTGCAGTTCAACTAGACCTTGTTTTTTATATTCGAGGTCTCACGTTTCCCTTTTTTAATATTATACCATAATTTCCTATTGTTTTTTTGTATAATTTAAGATCAGGGGCGGATCTAGGATTTTCTCGAGAAACTTTGACTTTGACTGGGCCACAAAAACTATATGAAGTACAATGTTGTCAAAACTTCTTTTGTGATAAGAAGGAACATGGAATTTGGAGATTTTTGTTGCAAATTGAGTTTTTGTTGGAGGTGGTTTTTTAGCAATCAAATTCCGCGGTCGAAATCAAATTGTTTTTCCATTTCTTAACCACATTGAAGATATCGTCTCTCTAATTTGAATTTCAAATAGATAATATCCCTCCGTTTTCTTTTTGTAAACTTCTCTGGGTTTGACATGCGCCAGTTTGGCCACAGACTGAACTAAATTTTGCGTGATTTGAAGAATTTTTTGACAATGTTGAAAGCGTTATGCGTTTTTTTTTGCTGGCAAATTATCACTTAGCATTTTAAAAAAATTGTTCCAATTGGAATTATTTTAAATTAATTGGTCGTTCTATTTTTCTACGGGCCACCAGATCAGCGCTTGCTGCCAACCTAGATGGTTCTGTATTCAAGTTTTAATTACAGTTAGATAAAATTTGTTCCAAATGGAATTATTTTAAACTAATTGGTCGTTCTATTTTTCTACGGGCCACCAGATCAGCGCTTGCTGCCAACCTAGATGGTTCTGTATTCAAGTTTTAATTACAGTTAGATAAAATTTGTTCCAAATGGAATTATTTTAAACTAATTGGTCGTTCTATTTTTCTATGGGCCACCAGATCAGCGCTTGCTGCCAACCTAGATGGTTCTGTATTCAAGTTTTAATTACAGTTAGATAAAATTTGTTCCAAATGGAATTATTTTAAACTAATTGGTCGTTCTATTTTTCTACGGGCCACCAGATCAGCGCTTGCTGCCAACCTAGATGGTTCTGTATTCAAGTTTTAATTACAGTTAGATAAAATTTGTTCCAAATGGAATTATTTTAAACTAATTGGTCGTTCTATTTTTCTACGGGCCACCAGATCAGCGCTTGCTGCCAACCTAGATGGTTCTGTATTCAAGTTTTAATTACAGTTAGATGAGCGGCAATCTTAATTGAGGCATGCTAATTGGCACGCATGTAAAACCTCAATCTTCAATTTTTCCGAATGATCCCAATTTATTTGTCTAAAAAACAGGTTTATAGTACAAGCATGTTCACATCTTGAGCGTCATCGGCATGCAATGTTTCTTACTTGCGTTTGAGAAAGTTGTTATCAGTAGCTACAAGCGAGTACTTGAATAACAAGACTGCTCGAATCAGGCCAAAATCTGACAGAAAGCTGTCCTCGAATAGTTTTTGAGTGAGGAAAATTTGAAAAACTATAAATTTTAATCGGATAAGATCAACTTTAG